CTTTTTTTCTTGGACATTGCAATTGCACAGATGTGAGTGTGATTGGGGAGGTTGTTTTAAAATTGATGCAATTAATTTTTAAAAGTCAAACACAGCTGGTTCTCCTTAAAACGGTATTTCAGTAATGGTTCTTACCAGTACCATGAATAATTGACTAATATCAGCTCATTAATATTCTAATAGTAGAGTGCTTCAGGCTAATAAAATTCATTTTTAAATTAGTTTTTTTCAATGTGTTGCTGCAGCCCACGGATAATGGGAAGTTATGCTAAAGAAGGGCAAATCAGTGAAATATGAGATTTTATGCTGTTTTTTTAAAATATAAAATAGTTGTTTAGCTGCTCAGTATTCCTGTTTTTAATTTCCTATGATAGAGGCCTTTTTCTCCATTTAATTCTATTTCAGAAGTACACATTTACCTGAAGACTATTGCTCTAGGAAGCGTTATTGCATCAAGAGTGGGGTAGGGATGGTCCTGATGTGAGCACCCTCATTCTTCTTCTAGGTAGGGTTCCTCAGCTAGAGTGTCCCCTGAACTCTGTTTGTCTTGGGTCCCTCCCAGGGCTTCACATTTGTGCCAGGGTTTTTTTTTTTGGGGGGGGGGTTCTTTTTTATAATTAATTTTTTCTAAATTTTGAGGTCATTGTTGATTCACCTCTAGTTATAAGAAATGTCACACAGAGATCCCATGTAACTTATACATAATTTCCTCAATGGTAATGCCCTGCAAAACTATAGTGCAGTATCACAACCAGGGTATTGACATTGATATAGGCAAGATATTTCCATCACCAGTGGGACCCCTCATGATGCCCTTTATAGCTGCCCACTTCCTCTTGCCCCTACCTGCTCAATCCCTGATGAGCGTGGCTCTGTTTTCCATATGTTCTCATGGGATTTAAGTATAAAATTAGGTCCTGTTTTGTTTTTTTTTTTTAAAGAAACAACCTGTGGGTGTAGTTCAGGGGTAGCATACTTGCCTAGCACGTGTGAGACCATAAGTTCCATCCCCAGCTCCACAAAAAAAAAAAAAAAGACATATACACACACAATAAATGAACATGTGCAAGGCACATGGGATAGAAGACTGTTGGGTAGGAAAATTTAAACTTGAGGATTTCAGGCCATACATAAAGGCTTCCTTGTGGAACTGAATTCAGCATTAACTTTTGGGTATATTGTGTCTTCAGAAGTCATCTCTGGTGTTAGTGTTCATGATAGTCTTTTGGGATTCCTGTAATTTACATTTGGCTATGTTTTGATAGTGGTAATAGTTGATAAAGTTCATGGCCTTCTGGTTTGTGCCTTAGGATGAATCTAGGGCCCTCTTGACATCCTCTGGAGGGTCACTGATAGTTAGAGGGTGAAAACTGGGGATGCAAGTTAATTATTTGATTCATCTTTGAAAGGATGTTCTCAGAGTGTTTGCTTGATACTCTGCAAACAGAAGAGACAGATGTTGGGTGGAGGAAAGGAGCAGGCCCACCTCAGCCAGCAAAACCCAACCCTGATTGAATTCAGATCTTCCTTTTTCATATTTGCCTCAGAGCATCTAAATGTGAAAGGAGAGAATCAAAAAATGAGCTTCCATGCTTCTCCTTTAGCACTGCATTACGGTAGCTACCAGCTACATGTAGCTATTGAATGCCTGAAATATACCCAGCATGACTGAGGACCTGGGCTCATATTTAGTTTTTTTTAATTTTTATTTATTATTTTTTAAAAAATATTTATTTTTTAGTCATAGGTGGATACAACATCTTTATTTTATATTTATGTGATGTTGAGGATTGAACCAAGTGCCTCATGCATGCTAGGCGAGCGCGCTACCTCTGAGCCACAACCCCAGCTCCTATTTTTATTTTTTTAAACATTTATTTTTTAGGGCTGGGGATGTGGCTCAAGTGGTAGCGCGCTCGCTTGGCATGCGTGAGGCCCGGGTTCAATCCTCAGCACCACATACAAACAAAGATGTTGTGTCCGCCGATAACTAAAAAAATAAATAAATATTAAAATTCTCTCTCTCTCTTTAAAAAAAATATTTCTTAGTTGTAGGTGGACCCAGTACCTTTATTTTATTTTTATGTGGTGCTGAGGATCAAATCCAGTGCCTCATGTATGCCAGGCAAGCACTGTACCTCTAAGCCACAACCCCAGCCCTCATATTTACTTTTATTTTAAATTTAAATAGCCATGTGTGACATGTGGATGACAAATGGACAGCACAGAGATTCTAAGTTGCCTATGTTGGGTTGTTTGAGTCACTCTACCCACTTTAGTAGGCCAAAGCTGATTTGCTTGGCATGGGCAAGGAGAAGCCTACAACTGTCCCCATGGTCCTATCCCAGTTTCCCACCCATCATCAGCCTCTACAATATTGCTGAGCAAACATTTCCAAATAATCAGTTTGAGGAAGAAGCAAATAATTAGCCTGCTTGTCCATTCACTGCATCTGTGCCTAGCTGTGCCCGTGCTTGGCTCATAAAACTGCCTTTTTCATGCTTCTCTAATGAGTTAGACTCACATTCTGCTCTTAAGGTTTTCAAGCTCATTCTTGGGACCAGGATAATATTTGTTTCCTGTGTGACCTAGTGATGCACCTCAAAAAAAGAAGTGTGGTTCTTGGAGTCAGGTTCTTGCTTTGGTGTCTGGCTTCTCTACTTCTGATGGTGCTACCTAGGACAAACTAGTTAACCTCTCTGTGCTTCTGTTTCTTCCCCAATAAGATGAGGATCATAAATAGTGCCTCTGTCACCAGAGCGTGGTTGGGCCCAGTAAATTCAGGCAGTGCACTTGGTCCATAATAACTGTTATATTTTCACTTCCTTTTATGATAACACTACTGATATGACTTGAAGATGTGATTCTTACAGGTACCCACAAGGGGGCAGCCTAAAACCATGCATATCTATGGAACATTTGGTCCTTTTTCTTCTCCATTTTTCTTTCTTTTTGGCCTGCTTGAAGAACACTTTCATTAGAGATAGGGCAGGCCCAATATCAAGAAGGTGGTGTGGGTAGTATGGAGCAAGGTTCAGGTTCTAGTTGGGTAGGGAGGTTGATGTGGGTGCTAAAGGAAACATCTGTCCACACATTCTAGGCTTTTCTTTGTAGCTTTTTACATAAATTCTTAATGAAATTCTTGATGTAGGAACTAGAATCTGAAAGTGTTTAGAGAAAAGAAAAACTTGACTTTATCTCTCTGCCCTTGACTTCATGCCTGTCTTTGGAGCATTGCATGTGCACCTTGGAGCCGCCAGGTAGTGAGGAGAACAAGTTATAGAAGAGAGATCTCTGTGGGGAAGGAGGATGAAACTAGGACTTCACAAACTGTGGGAGCATGGGGCATCATGGGTCTTGGGAATGGTGGGGTCTTGAAAGTTGGTGTGGTTTAAACAGGTGGGAGTGGGAGAAGGAATGGTATAAGCCAGAAGGTAGTCCCGATGTCAAGTTAGGAAAAGAGAGTCATATTGGGTGTGTGTTGGGGGGCTGGAATGGTTTGAGATGTGAGATGTTGGGCCTTTAAATTTATAATAGTCATAATGTTGGGAACTTCATAATTAAGAATTGACTAAGAACAAACATGGAGAATAGCACTTAAAGTCCAGGGTTAATTTTCTAGTACTTCTCTCTTAAATTTTAGTATCCCCAGTACTTATAAAATTAAACTAAGTTTTAAAACTAGACCTACAGCCCGCAAAATTAGACTCATACAGGGAATTGTGACAACCCAGTGTTAGCTATGTTATTCACCATCTGTATTTCCACTACCTCCATAGCAGGCCAAGCTTCCAGTCCTCCCTTCTGGATATCAAACAGCAAGAGCCTCCCTGGAAAGAGCTGAGGTTGCTATGGCAGCAAAGCATAGTGTGAAGTCAGTTGGTGCTCCCAGAGAAGAAGGCCCAGGGACTGGGAATGGGAATGTGGTAACATTAGCACTAAAGCCAATTTCTCCAGAATGATAGGCTTAAACAGCATGTAGCAAATACTCATGAATAACCAATTGTAACAGAGTGCAATTATTTCTAATTTCAAAACAGTCATGAAGATCCATTTACTCTTTAATTTAGAAAGCCTCTTAGGAGCCAGGCACGGTGGAGTGCATGCCTATAATCCCAGCAGCTCAGGAGGCTGAGACAGGAATAGCCAGCTTCAGCACTTAGCAAGGCCCTAAGCAGTTTAGTGAGACCCTGTCTCAAAATAAAAAAGGATAGGGGTGTGGTTTAGTAGTTAAGCACCCCTGGGTTTGATCTCCAGTTACCTCCTCCCACCCCCCCAAAAAAAGAAAAAAGAATAAAAGCTCCTTAGGGTCCTGCAGGGGATGGGTAGAGATGTAGAACTCTAAGGATATTTCCTGGAATTGGGGGGGGGGGTCACTGTCTTTTGTTCCATTTTATTTGTTGTAGATATTTGAATGACAACAGGAATATCCCATTATTTTCCTTTCTTCTTTGTGATTCTTAGATACTAAGATTGACATCAGAGCAAATTTGGCAGAATTGAAATTGAACATGAGAGTTACAGTGCTCTCCTGAGAAACACTCTTGTGTCCCTTAGCAGTTGGCTCTTTCCAGAAAATAAAATGTTCATATCTATGTAATAATTGGTATCCAAAGTCTTGTACATTTTTATGCTTCTCCTCTCCCCCTCAGGTTTGGTAACAAGACTGGGAGAGGTTTGGTGAGCATCTCTGCTCGGTCATTTACTACACTTTCAGACCCTTCCAGGATCAGACCTGGGAACAGGATTAGGGAAAGGGTTCTGTCCTCCCATGCTGGTGTTGGAACCACTATAGCATGGCTTGGCAGGTACTCATGGAAGCCATAGCTACTGCTCTACAGCTGTTGGGGATTGGTTGTATATGTGCATGGGGGGCGTGATAGATGCTCTGCTTCAAATGAAGAAGCAACAGTGGATGATGTGTGTGCAGCCAGACCCAAGGTGTATATCCATAGGGGAAGAGTGAAGAACTTAAAATCATCATGTTTTCTCTCTTACAGGTATGGATGGATTTTTAAAGTCAGATGAGAGACAAAGACTAGCCAAAGAGAGAAGAGAAGAAAGAGAAAAATGTCTGGGTAAGTTGTACACTTGGACTGGTTAGGTCCAAGGAAGTGGAGAGGTGGTGAGGACCTTTTCTAAAGGTCCTAGGAAATATGCAAATGAACGCAAAGAGAGCTAGGACAATTGCTAGGAGTGGATCCACATGGAGACTGGTATGTTCATAAACATTGCATAATTTTCCAAACAGTTCATTTAGTCACTCACTTAGGAATCATTAAACCTCTTCTGTGTCCTAAGCACTGTGCTTGGGGCTGTGGGCATGAAGGCAAAAAAAGAGAACTTTGAGCAAGTCGTTAAGCCCTCAAGCATTCACTGTATGCATTCACTCAGCTCTTTTCTGAACATCTAGAAGAGTCATCCTCAGGAAAACTAAGATATTGGCACTTAAATCATTTTCTATGTTACATCAGGGTGCCTTGGTTGAGAAAGTCTGTCTTGTATGCTATAGATAGATAAGTACAGGGTGTTCTCCACAGGGTGCTGTGAAGTAGGTAGATGATGATTTCCCCATTCAATTGAGACAAAAGAGGAGCTTTCGGGTTCTTGCTTGGCTTCTTCCTGAACAGTTCAGGCATTGCCTACTTTGAGGAACCATTCCATGGTTTGACCAGGTGAAGTTAAGGGTCCTTAGTTTCTCAGAGGGAAAGCCAATCTTTTCCATGTGTTTTATCCCTTTGCCCAGCTCAGCATCTGCTTGCTACATGCACAGTTAAACACATTTGAGTGAATGCACTCTTATAGCTATCACGTTTCAAGCTAGTGTACAGTTTAGCCATTGTGCATAAGTTTGACTTAGTGATAGCAATAATAGTCAGCTCCCATGTGTTGGAGCATTACTGTGTACTTTATGTGCATTATCTCATTTAGTTGTCACCATATTGTGATGTTGCATACATGACTAACCATAATCTTCACTTCACAGAAGAGGAGATGGAGGCACAAACAGTTAACATGCCCAGGATTACCCAGCTAGTGATGGAGGTCTCAGGAACTTTAGTCTCATCACTGCATCCTAGGATCCCAGTAGACTGTTTTGCTGTTCACTCTTGTTTCTGTGTTATTATTCTTAATTCATGCCACATGGGGTGCTCTAGAAATGACCTTCTGCTTTCCTTCACCAGCTGCCCGGGAGCAGCAGATCCTGGAGAAACAGAAAAGAGCTAAGCTCCAGTATGAAAAGCAAATTGAGGAGCGATGGCGGAAACTGGAAGAGCAGCGACAACGGGAGGATCAAAAGAGGGCTGCTGTAGAAGAGAAGAGGAAGCAGAAGCTCCGAGAGGAGGAGGTAAAGCCCCAGGAGTCCCTCATCCCAACCATCTTGGCAGCTCACACAGAGTGTAGTGCTGAGAGCACCTGGACATCCTACCCAGCTCCAAGGTATAAGAGAGACTTGATCCTGTATCTTCTCCCAGTGGCTCACCATATGCTCTTTGAGCATGATGACACAGTGATCCAGTGGAAGAAGCACTGGCATAGTAAACAGACTTATCTATTCAGTTCAGATGTCACTTTGCTATATGACTTTGGGCAAGTGGTTGGTGTCTCTGGGCCTTGATTTGCTTGTCTCTGCATTGAGGAGGTTGGATTTGGTGGTCTCCCAAGAGCTGTTCCAGGCATAACCTTTTCTGACTCTAAGTTAAGGCTCACAGGGGATTGTGGTTAGGGTAATACAGTCTGGAGGGTTGTCCGTGTTTCTAGGGCAGATATAAGGCCAGAGTGTGAGCTGTGAGGGTCAAGAACAAAATGATCCTGTGATTCACTGCTGGAAAATTAGTTTACCCTCAAATACAAAGATGCTAGTGTATTTAAATTTTACTGTAGTTCCTGCTTTAATCATTCTTTCTTTCCAGTTACCTTTTAAAAAAGAAATATAATGCAGTTACCCCTACAGAGTCCTTTATTTCTAAACTGAAATGAATTTAGAAAGCATATTTGGGTAATAGATTTTCTTAACAAGAATATATTAAGGATGTAATCATAGCCGTGTATCAGGTGATGGTCATTTTTTATTCATAAGGTATAATGATGTCTTAGTATGAACAATATAGCAATTTGTTAATCTCCAAAACTGTAGGATACAAAGACTTTTGTATAAATTTAGTATTTTTAAAAAAAATCTCTGAGTGGTTGTTTTCTACTATATATATTTACTACTTCCTCTTTTTTTTAACTTAAAAAGCACATATGAACATGAATACACACACACAATTAGATCTATCTTTACCTACAAAGCACCCAGTTCCTTTGTTCTTCTTAGCAAATAAAGATCTAAGCAATGCTCTTAGCCATGGTTCACCATTGTTGACTGCTGTCTAACTGCTGTAGTTTCATCTGCTCAGCTCTACCACTAAGCATCTGGTGGCCAGGGGCAAGTCACATATCCCTTCTAATTCTGTATCCTCAGCTCCAAACAAAAATGGTTACAGGAATTAAAGGAGTTGACTTTTGTGAAAGTGTCCAGCAAAACACCTGGCACAGAGTAATCCCTTAGAAAAGTGAGATTCTCTCCACTTAATTCATTTGATCTTGGCTGAAGCAAGGTGAAAAGAGAACTACCTAGAAGAGATTATGGCACAGAGTATATATACTATTTTTAAAAAAGCCACAGAGCGACAGTGTTTCAGTAATTTAGGACCAATTTCTTCTTTCTCAACCTTTGTACTTCTCATGAGTCACTGGACTCACCCATTTTCTGCCCATCCTCCATTCCTTGATGACTTAGAGCTTGTCCCCTTCCCCCCAGCCTCTTCATTTTGATTTTTGACATCCTCTAGGATTGCTGATTCAAGGGAAAGCTTGTCACTGCTGCTTCCAGGAAGGAGCACTGTAAAGTGTCAAGTTACATGTTTCCTGTGTTCTGAAACATCCTATAGTGTCACAGGGGTTCACTTTTGAGGCAATTTCTATGTTTAATTTTCCTTTATAGAACATTAGTACTGGGGCTGGGGCTATGGTTCAGCAGTAGAGTGCTCACCTAGCACATGCAAGGCGCGGGGTTCTATCCTTAACACCACATAAAAAATAAATGAATAAATAAAATAAAGATATCATATCCAACTACAATTTAAAAAATATTTTTTAAAAAAGAACATTAGTGCTATTAGTTGCATTAAGTACTCACACACCTCCTCCTTGCCTATGAGGGAATGTTATGCCAGATGGTTGGTCCACATGCAGCTGAATCTTCAGAGGTTTCACTTCTGGATGATTTTCCATTTGCTTCTGTGCTTTCTTGCACCCGTAATGTGGTGGTTATGGCGGGTGGGGAATGGTTCCTGACTCTTGTCAGCTTAACAACAAGCTGAGCTTGCTTTTCTGTTCTCCCTGAGCATGGTAGGGCTGGGCAGAGAGCTGGGCTTAAAAAGGTTGTGTAGCAACCCAAGGAAGCAGAAGCCTTTCTCTGCCACCTGCTCCTACCCTTAGGGTCCCAGGAGACCCAGATGTAGCTTAGAGACTTTTCACATACAGGCTGGCCAGTTAACCACATTGGTGTTGGTAATTACCAATACAGAGGCTTATTTGGCATTGTTTGTGCTTGATCTTCAGAGAAGGGGAATGAGACTGCACTGCAGAAGCCCCTATCCAAAGGAAGCCCTTTGTGGTCACCCCCATGGTTCTTGAAGAGCTCTGTAAGAGTTGTTGTATGCTAAGTACCTGGTTGTGGAGATTGTTGAGTCCTTTCTCGGTGCCAGACTTAAGTTCTTTTTGTCATGCTCTGTCTCTTGTCAACCAAGGAAAAGGCTCAATGGGAAGATAGTTCATCCTGTGCAGGCCATTTTGCTTCTGTAGTCTATTGGGAAATGCACATATTGCCCAACAAGTCCTACGTCTCTGGGTCTGATGTTTAGGAGATAAAAAGAGGCCTGTTAGCTACTCACTCCTACCCAACCCTGACCTGGCTTCCATCCCTGTGGTTGTCATGATGTTCTTGGTAACTCTTCATGTCTGTGCCAAGGCAGAAGTGGATGGTGTCTCAGGACCCCCACCACTACATTGGGGGTGCAAGAAAGCACAGAAGCAAATACAGAATTATTCTGGCAGTGGCAGTCCCTCATCTGCAATGCAGAATGATCAGCCTGACTCCCAGAAGTCTCAAGAATTGGCAGTATTGGAGGCTAGCCAGGCCTGTCCTAGGGAGGGAAAGTCTGATATCTGCTTGAGATCTTGATTTTGAATTCAATTTTCTTGCTGGAGACCATCTTTTCTTTTCTTTTCTTCATTTTAGTTGTAGATGGACACAATACCTTTATTTTATTTACTTTTATGTGATGCTGAGGATTGAACCCGGAGCCTCACACATTCAAGAAGAGTGTTCTACCACTGAGCCATGACCCCAGCCCCCTATCTTTTCTTTAAAATGGGTTCCTACAATTTTCACATGTTGCACAGTTCCAAAATTAAGCTGCTAGAACAGGCACGTTACTTTTACCTGAGTTAGGACTGATATGCAGTGTTCTCACCCAGTCAGGAATATAACTTCCTGAGTAGTGGCCCTGAAATATGGGATTTGGAGAAGGCCATTCTACATTTCTCCTGCTAAACAGATAACCAAGAAAGGCCTTTTTTCCAAGAGTGGCTTCATCTCTTTAAGTTAGTTTGACAAATCTAAACTGTTCATACTCTCATTGCTTTATAGATAACAAAACCTACCTTGCTAAGAAATTTCTGGGCCGGGGTGGTGGTGCACACCTGTAATACCAGTGGCTCGGGATGCTGAGACAGGAGGATCGCAAGTTCAAAGCCAGCCTCAGCAAAAGTGAGGCACTAAGCAACTTAGTGAGACCCTGTCTCTAAATAAATAAATTAAAAAACAGGGCTGGGGATATGGCTCAGTGGTTTAGTACCCCTGAATTCAATCCCCAGTACCCCTACCCCAAAACTAGAAATTTCTGAACACACCTAAAAAACTTCACTTAGCTGTGCACCTTGGAGCCTTATCCCTGCAATGTCATCACCTAAACACATATGGTAAAAGCAGGGGCAAAGGCACAACCCTGACAGCCCCAACTCCTGACAGAGATTGCTGTCTGGGTAGTAGTGTTTGGGCCATGTCCTGGTAGAGGACTGTTGCTCGGACAGCTCAGTGGGTCACCTTGGATGTGATTCTCCAAGTTCTTTGAGGAAGATCTAGAGCTTAGAGCTCAAGGGGGCTTTTGCCTCTTATTGTTCATTTCTTCTAATAAGCCCCACTCAATAGAAGATATTCTGTTGACAAAAATTTGCCTTGTCCTTTCCCCATCCTCTGATGATCATCAGATGATACCCAGGAGAACCAAAACTTGGCAGGAATTGTAGTATGCAGTATGCAGTTCCTAGTATTTATTAATACTGGTTTCCTGATGTGACTGAATTTACCCTTGCTTTTTCATGCTTGGCCTTTCTTCTCACAGTGTGGTCCCAATACCATTAACACCTGATAACTAGTTAGAAATACAGATTCTTAGCAGGCTCCACCCCAGACTTACCCAGAAACCCTGGGGAGAAACCCCAACAATCTGTTTTAATAAGCCCTCCAGGGGATTACGATACAGCCACATTTATATTTAAGAATCACTTGTTCTAAAATGTTCTGTTAATAGTCCTCCTCCTCTTCAAATTCAGATTCAGTCAGCATTGGTGAAGTACTTACATATCAAGAACTAGACTAGACATTAACATTGTAGACTTGAGAGTAATCTAATAAAGTAGGTAATGTTATTCTCATTCTGTAGGTGAGAAAATTGAAGCCCAAGGATGTGAAATGATTGACTCAAGGTCACAAGGCTAAAAAATGGTAGACAAAGGTGGACTATGAATCTTTACCTTCTGATTCCATATCTAGGATTCTTTCTGCTCAATCAGATGAAGAGAATCAGAAGGGTATACGCAAATACTAGGCAATACCTCCATACACAGGACTAACTTCTAACCAGTGCAGTCGACCAGTTTTTTTATATATATGTTTGAATCATCCCATTCTGACTTCTTTTGGTTCCATAAGTCTGTTAGAACTTGTTTACTACCTGTTTTTCCTCTTCTCTCTAAAAATTGGTGATACAAGGTGATTGTCTCGTTTTCTCAGGGATGATTACATTTTTATAAGCCTACTCAAGGTCCAAATGACCTAATTTCCATTGTTGGAATTTGGAGTCACTCAGTGGATTTGGGGTAGATGGCATGGGTAGTTTTTCTAAAAGTAACTGAACAGTCCAGGGATAGGTTTGGCTTTAGTTGAACATTATTGTATAATTCTTCCCCCTAGATAGCTGCTCCAGTGGTAAAACTTGCTCTATGAAATTCAATATCTTTTATTCTCATTGAGCCCCTAGTAGATAAAGGACAGTCTAATGAGTTCCTTCTGATATATAGGAAATCTACCAAAAACTAATTTCATTCTTCAGGGTGAAAGGTTTCAACACTTAAATTAGGTCATTGACTAAATACTTTGTTAAATTCATACAATGAAATAACATTTAGCCTCACGCTCAAGTACCCGTATTTTAGGCATCGTGGTGGAGAAGTTCTGTTTCCTCTAAGCATCAACTTTTACCTGGCAGATCACCAGTGCTGGCCATCAGCATTAAATGGCCCAGGTTCATGAGAATGGAGCAACCAGGAAATGTACACTTGTGATTGTACAGTGCCCAGTCCCAAACTAGAACACAATTAACAGTCAATATAAATCTGAGTGATATAAGAGGAAATAATTCCCCTCTCTGCTCACAGGTCCGTGAAAAGACTAATTGCAAACGTTTTTTAGCAAAATGCTATTCAGAGAAAAAATTACACAGAGGAAGCTGAGATGTAAAGAACCCAACTGCTCATCTCATGCCTCTGGTGTAGACAAAAGGGGTAAATCCAGGCACATCCTAAGTGACATTTATGTGTTTGCAGTAAGTGAAATAAAGGAGGCTTTTCCTAATGCTTAAGTCAGTTACACAGTTTTTGCTGTCTTAATTTAATTTTACTTGCTTGTTTTAGTAAAAAAATCATATCTTTGTGTTTTGGAGTCAGATAGGAGTAGTCCAGTTCCAGGAACTCCATGGAATTAAGTTTTATGAGGGCTAATGGGTGTCAGTATAAAGACCAGAATTGCTTTGGACCTTCTCCAGTGGTGGCAGGGAAAGTAGCTGGTATTTGCAGAGTCATTGAGGTGCAGAGTAAGAATACTTTTGCTGCAGTGCCAAGGACAACTCTATGGAAAGTAACAGTCTGGTTAATACAGGAGGATGCTTTTGATAAATCCTCTGTTAATAGAGAAGCCTACTGGTAGATTTTCTTTTCTGGTTAAAAATTGCTTAGTTCTTCTTTCCCTCATGCCCAAACCTACCTAACTCTGGAGATGTATAGATGTTTTACTTTGTGGCCAGAAGATTCTATACTCTTGTCTCATTAAATTTTGAACTGTGCAGAAAAGTGTTATAATATAGAAAAAATAGATTCTTCTTTTTAAAACTATGTATAAGGCTACGGAAACTCAGATTATATTTTAATCTAAATTTTCTCAAATTGGAATGTTTTGTGCTTACAATTATAAAGACTGCAGTTGGTTTTGGAACAGAATTCCAATTCTCTTACTGGATGGTGCAAGCTTGGGTTTGAGACAGGCCTCAAGGAGTTAATGCTTGTTGGGCATTATTCTTAAACAAATCAAGGGCTGGCATAACAGCAGCTTTTCCCCAGGGAGGGGTGAGGAGGGGACAGGACACAGTGTTCAGTTGGAGATCTGGTGATAGCCTAGCCGCATTGTTTACTCTCCACCCACTCGAGAGTGTGATGTGGCAGAGAGAATATGTGTGCCTGGGTTTAGGATGCTGAGCACAGAAAGCCTGGTTTGGTGACTCACCCCAGAGCACTGAGGCGGCAGTGCAGTGGGGCTGGGTGTTTGAGCTTGTTCTTTGTTGACACCCAATGCTTTGTGTGAACTGGGCAGGAGCGACTGGAGGCAATGATGCGCCGGTCCCTGGAGCGTACACAGCAGCTGGAGCTGAAGAAGAAGTGTTCCTGGGGAACATCGCTGGCCACAGGACCTGGAGGACGTGATGGTGAGTGCAGGGCTGTCCCTGCATTGCAGGGCTCCAGTGGGAGATCATGGGCAGGGCTGGGTGTCCACAGGATCTTGGGGATGCTGTGCACAGCTTTACAGGCACCCTTTTTGGGTGTGATGTTTAAAACTGCCAAGCTTCTGTGTATGCATTTCTCATGAGAGGGAGATGTGTATTCTTCTTGCTAGCAAACAGCAATTGATGCAATAACTGGGCTTTCAGGGAGAGCAAAAGAAAATGGATGCAAAGCCTGGCTAGCTGGCCTCAGTAGGCAGGTCCAGGGGTAATCTGATTTCAGGGAAGGGAAATGGCAGGAGACTCAGTCACTATTTCAGACATGACTGGGAAAGTCAAGAGTTACTCTCTAAAAAGGACTGGACTTTTTCTTTTCACATTATGAATTTTTGTTGCTCGTTTTATTTTGTTTCAAGGGGACTTATTTCATTATCCAGGTCATACCCATCTTTAAATTTTTAAATGTTTACTTTAATGTATGGGTTATTACTAGTCTCAGGATGACTTTTCCCCTCTTTTTAGAGTCATACTATGTTTCAGTGATCTCAGCATTCTGTTATGCAGAGTTATTTACTAGCTCTTTCTTAAAGGTGTTTATAATATAGTTTATCAGTTGTATTGTGCTTTTAACTTTTTGGCAGTGATATACTTTTTTCTTTTTTGAGAAGTCAGCAACACATTTGTTAACTTTTCTAATTTCCTAATTAGAAAGTAAAATAAAACAACAAATTGGGACTTTTTTCTTTTACCTCTCTTTGCTCTGATTTTTTGCTGTGTAGGTGAATCAGAAAATACCCCACCCCCTCCTCTAGGTTTAGCAGCCAGCACTCTTCCTCCGGACGCAGGAACCACTGCCACCGCTGCCGAGTCCAGCAACGGTATATCCGAGCATCATCGTGCCATAGCGCTTTGTGAAAATTGTTCTGATCACCCTCCTCCATTACTGTCTGTCTGAAGTGCACAGTTGATTTCTTAGTCTGACCTGTTATAATTTTTTTTTCTAGAGATGTGAATGATATGCTTATCTTTCTTTGTTTCTCTGCCATCATGGAGCTGTGCATGCCTTATATCATAGTGTTCTGGAGACATTTCATCCTCAGCTCACTTCTACCTTAAAAATCTTGTCATTATTTGATTTTTGTGCATCTATGTCTTTAACAATTTCATTAATCATCTGTTTTAGGTATTAAGTAGAAGGGCGTTCGGATCACTTCTTGTGAAAAGCCAGAAATCACAGAGTTCTGAATGGAATACTTGGGCTTGGTGTTAATGTGGTGGATACCAGGAGAAGTGTTTGAGAGGGAGTGCTAGGGAGTTTATTAATAGTAATACTGGGAATCCAAAGAATTAGACAACTTGGCTCTGTGCTTCATTTCATATCTCTGTCTAAAACGCTGTGTTTTGGGGATGTAGCTTAGTGGAAGAACACTTGCCTGGGATGTAGGAGGCCATGGGTTTGATGCCCAGAAGAACAAATAAACAAAAGGATTTCTATTTTGAATACAGACCTGGGAAATTCTATGGTTTAGATTAAGAATGGAACTAGCAAAACCTTGTTCCCATGTAATAAAGATTAGAAATTCAACCCATTTCTGGTTAGCAACACCAACAATACAGAAGGTTGTGTTTACAATAGGAATAAATATCCTTGGTTTCTGGCATTCCTTTAACAAAAAGTATCCTCGTACCATGGACTTTGCTGTACAGGCCTCGCTATAATACCTATAGGGTGGGCACTGGCTTTTCCCGCAAAGTGGGTACAAGTAGAATGGAATTAGTACCCAAGGTTATGACCAGGATAATATGATCATAACCACATGAATGTGGTACTTGACTTGGGCACACAATTTAAAGGGGGCTGCCCAAAATCTCAGCAATGAAAATAACATTTTAAATGGAATATTTTAAAAATAAAAATACAGAAAAGTCCAGAGTGAACAAAACAGAATTTCAAAATGTGTGATGCTGAACTATATCAAAGCCTGAGGCAAAAGAGAAAATATACACTTTACCTACTTATTTTTCTAGAATCTTAAAGTAGTTAAAACCCTAAAATTTGAATAAAAGTATTAAAATTTAAAACAACACCAGGGATGGTGGTATATACTTTTAATCCCAGCTACTCATGAGGCTGAGGCAGGAAAGTCACAAGTTTGAGGCCACCCTGTCTCAAAAATCACAAAATAAAAAAGGGCTGGGGCTGTAGCTCAGTGATAAAGGGCCCCTGGGTTCAATTCCTAGTTTCCCTAACACACACACAAAATCAAAATATCACTTCAAGTTTAAATATTTTATGTATCCCCAATTTATTATACTTTGATTTCAGCTAATTAACTTATCACTTGGTCAGCATAAATTGTCAGATATGACCGTTCTCTGATTTGAAAACAAGATGAACATAGGAGTTAGATTTTGAAAATATTATTGATGAGTTTGTGTCCTTTATAGCCATGGGCACAAATTTTTCCTTTTACCTCAGGCTCCAATATAGGTTGGCAGGGCACTATTAGAACCTCTTTGTTGGTTGTAATGATTTAATTTTGAAACCTGTCTGAAATGACTGAAACATGAGAACACCAAACTTAGGGTTATATGTTAAAATACTAACCTTAAACTAATAAAGCATCTACAAAAGAGCCATTTTTTAAACTTTATTTTATTTATTTATATGCAGTGTTAAGAATCAAACCCAGTGCATCACACATGCTAGGCAAGCTCTCTACCACTGAGCCACAACTCCAGTCCCAAAAGAGCCATTTTGACTCCATCTTTTAACAAGAGGAAGAAAACCAACTACTAAAGGGCATTCTGCTTTAAATACAGAGCCTGAGTTACAAATTACATCTTTTTTTAACCTGAGCCACAGGTAACCTTTAGGAAAATTTCAGTTTCAGCACTAGTCTCAATCAGACCATAGAACATTTCCAGCAGTGATTTGTCTCTGGTCCAGGTTGGTTTTGTTTTCGTATGGTGTGAATATATTTAAAAATCCCTGGATGCAAGAAAATGATTTTGGATTAACGTGGCTTTAGTTGAACATTTGAGTGAGGTTGAACATTTGAAAATGAAGAGAAGAACTGAAGAAATTGTATACAATTTCTTGGCTGATGTAGCATGGGCATTTCCAGATCAGGATAATGAGATCCCAGGATGATAGAAGCAAGCAGAGTTGTGCTGTGCCACTGTGGCGTAGATGTATGGATGAGGACAAGAAGGACACTTTGGGATATGTGTTTCTCAGTCTATAGTGGCGTGAATATCAATGTCTTTAATGCGTTTCTCTGCAGCATGTGACAAACTTTCTACATCAACCATGAATTTGCCAAAGCAGATGGAGCCTCCCATGAGTAAACGCCTGTCTTCATCCACCGTGGCAATATCCTATTCCCCAGACCGAGGCAAGTGCACGTGTAGACATGGTCTCTCCAGTTTGCTTCTTTGTGGTGTGAGCATCTTAACATTGGTCTTTGTGAGAGCCCCCTCTGAGTCTTCTGCAAATATCACCATCATCCTAGTCTCTTGGTTTGAATGTGGGAGCCTCAGGACCTTGCTAATAAAACTTTGGAAAGTGACATTGCTTCTTAGAGCCAGGTGATTGTTGAGTAGGGATAGAAATTGATACACTCCCAGTCTGAAAGACTCCACATTGTATGTAGCAGTTTTAAAAGTACCTGTCTGTCAGTGATGGGATGTGGTTGATTAGCCAGAAAGAGCATAATTAATGAGTCAGCTGGGAGACTTGCTATGTGAAAAGATGGAGCTCTGCAGTCATCCATGATTGTAGGCCTGTCTATATTTTAGATGAAAACAGAAGCACAGAGTAATATAAAGCCTCTAAAAGAGAAAAAGGATGGATGGGCCTTTACAGGCACAGTTTTGAACAGGGAGATGTGTATAGGACATGTGCCAGTTCCAGAATCTGAATAGATTTGACACTGTCCCTGTTCTAATGGAGGTTCAGATGAGTCATTGGAAGCCTTTCAAAATATGTAGGTTAAGGAATGGAGGGCTCTCCACATGTTAAATGTATATTTTAAAGGAATATCAGGTGCCAGTGGAGTATTTAAAATGTCAAGTCATTAACAAGGGGTAAACAGGAGGATGTTTGTGACTTGGAAGAGGCCGGTGTGCCTTTGTAGTTGTTCACTGGCATTGACCATGGCCCTTGTATCCCAGAGGCATAGCACGTGTATCAGAATCCCTGTGAGTATCAGAATCTTGCTGATTTCTGATGCAATTCATGGGTAAGCACTAGGAGCATGGAAGGAATTAAGAGTTGAATGAGAGCACACCTACACTTAATTCTGTACAGCTGTTCCATTAGTGTATTCCATGTTTTCATTAGTTCATATTCTTACATATTATATTAAATTCATTTTCGTATTAACCTATAAACATAAAAGTTTATTTTATTATTGACAACTGAATTATCAGCTTGTGGATTATAAATTGAGAAATTTTAATCTCCCCCTAAATTTACTAGTTAATAGGCATCCAAAGAACACAAAGTAATTCTTTGTAGCCGTTGCCATATAATGTATTCTAAAACCATCAAAATATTTTGGTCATTGATCTTTGGATTATGAGTCCTGTTTTCTTCGAGTAAAGCTGTTAAATCAGTTGGCCATTAATATTTTTGTGCTTCTTGTTTACTTTTTGCCCTTATTTACATGGAAAAAGTATGAAAGGATTTATTTTTTTACTATTACAGGATGACATTTCATTTTAAAAATCAGTGTCTTATGAACTATTTCTTAACAGAGGACCTAAATCAAGTGTTTTGTAGGTATAATTTTTTTTTTGATGTTAGATCTATGTGATGAGTAAGAGTCCATATGACTATTTTGGGAGGTGGGCTAATTCTCTGAGTTATGCAGATCACTGTAATATAATAATGTGTTGTACGAATTTTGATGTCCCAAGAGAATTAATGTACTCTCCCAAACTCTAAATGATGCATCATTTGTTTGATTTTACTGTGAAGAACTCCAAAGCCATTCATTGTCAGAATATTTTTATTTCCCATGTTTGTTCTGCCACTTAAAATTTAATTCACATCATGCACTGTCATTTAAACATTCTATTTTGTTTTATTTTAATTTGCTTTTTAAATTTTTCATTTGATTCCATCCCTCAGCTCATCATCGCATGCACCTTAGTCCCATGGAAAACTTTCTTGTTATGCGACTGTTGACACCCACACAGGCTTCTTTAGCCAGAAGCAGAAGTGCACTCATGCTCTCTGAGCAGGCCAATGACTCAGGTAAAAGAGGCCAAGCTGGTGACATAGAGGAAAATGTCCAAAGCAATGTTGGTCAGCCTGGGATTTTTATTCCTGAATTTTTGTGTTTTGCTTCCCGTTTGCTGGCTTTATGAAATACCTTCAATGATTAATAACATTTTTTACCCACCAGTGTTTTGCTGTTTCTATGTCTGTTTTACGGGCCACAGAGGTGAGTAAGTTATTTTGACTGAGGGCATGTACTTTAAGGAAAAAATCTACTTGATGATCTATGAAGGTTAGTTGTCTTTTCTTGGGAGATGGTTTGGCAAAGTGGCCTGTAGACAAGAGTCTCTGGAGATCCACAGCCAGCCTTACCACTACCTTTTACCATTTTGGGTAAGTTAATTAACTTCTCTAAGCCTCAGTTTGCACATCAATAAAATGGACTTATTTTGTTTGTCATGAGGATTAAATGAAGTAATGGTATAAATAAGGTAGCAAAAATGTCTTAAAGCCTCACTGTTCAAAAGGTAGTCTATGGTCCAGAAGTAGCAGCATCACTTAGGAGATTTGTAGGAAGGCCAGCTCTCAAGGCCCACCTGACCTGCACATTAGAATCTGACAAACACTGGACTGGACTCTCAAAGCCCTTTTTCTACCAAATCAGATCAAATCATCATGTCAAGATTAATGAGAGCTGGCATTCTCTTTGTAGATAAGCAATGCTATATCCATGTGAGGTTTGGTCTTTATTCTAAAGATATAGTCCATTTAGTGAAATAACACATAAATTATATAAACCTGTACCCATTTGTAGCTGCTTCTGAATAGTTGATACTGTTTCTATAAATTAGAAACACAGATAGCCAGTGAGCACTTGATAGGATGTTCAAGAGCACTAGTCATTAGAGAAATGCGAATCAAAACCATAGTGAGATACTACTTCACACCCACTAGTATAGCTAAAACCTTTTTTTGTTGTTTTTTAGTTATACATGGACACAATATCTTTATTTTATTTATGTGGTGCTGAAAATCGAACCCAGTACCTCACATGTGCAAGGCAAGCACTCTGCCACTAAGCCACAACTCCAGCCCGTAGCTAAAACCTTTTAAAAAGGAAAAAGAACAAGTATTGGAAAGGTATGGAGACACTTGGACCCCTCACATATTGCAGGTAGAAATATAAAATAATGCAACGCTGTGGAAGACATCCTGGAAGTTCCTCAAAAAATTAAGCATAGTTACCATATGACTTAGCAATTCCACTCCTAAGTATACAGCCAAGGAAATAAAAACAAATATTCAAACAAAAACTTGTACAACAAATGTTCTTAGAAGTAATTAGTCACAGTAGCTACAAAGTGGAAATAGCTCAAATGTCCCACAATGAGTAGATAAACAAAATTACGGTTTCTAATCTATAAAGTAGACTATTACTCAGCTGTAAAAAGGAATGGCATACTGATAGATGCTACAAGATGAATGAACCTTGAAAATATTATGGTAAGTGAAAGAAAGCAGTCACAAAAGGTCATAAATCATATGATTCCACTTATATGAAATATCCAAAATGGGTAAATTCATAGAGTCAGAAAGTAAACTAATAGTTATCAGGGACTAGGGGAAGGAAGAAAGGGGAGTGACCACTTAATGGATAAAGGATTTCTTCTGGGGGTCTTGAAAATGTTTTGGAATTCGACTGTAGTTATGGTTGCATAGCCTTGTAAATATTCTAAAACCCATTGAATTGGACACTTTTTAAAGGGGATTTTTATATTCTATCTCAAATAAACAAAACTTAGTCTGTATAAAAGTATCCTACTTTGAGAGTAAAGAATGTTTCATGGTCCCTAAGATTAACCCTAGGATCAGTGATTTGCTTGGAAGGCTGAGAAGACTCGGCATCTAGGCACACTCACCTCTGACTTATTACAATGAAAGGATACACAGCAAAGTTAACAAGGGGGGGAAAGGTACATGGGATAAAGCCCAGGGAAGACAAGGTGCAAGTTTCCAGAGTGCTCTCCAGTGGAATCACTCAGGGTACATTTTTCCCAGCCTTGAGTTGTGACATGTATGAAATGCTGCCAACCAGGAAAGCTTATTAGACATTCAGTTCTTAAGGGTTTTTACTGAGGAATGACCACACACACCCCTTGACCAGAACATACCCCAAATCCACGCTTCTGGTATGAAAGCAGTGTCACCATATTGTTTTTACAAACAGTTTAGGCACAGCAAGCCACTCATCAGTTAATGGAGGGAACCTTGCTAAAATCTTAAGTTCCCTGATGCTGGTCAAGGGCCAGTCTTGTAAGCAGACCCTTCCAAGGACAGCACTCAGGTCTTCTATGTTAACTCTTTTCTGTGCAATCCGTACCCTTGATTCATTGTCAGGATGTCTTTAATAGAAGAATTTCCTGTAGGTTCTAACAGCAGAATGAGACCACCCATGATACTGGTCTCACTTGTGCCCTTTAAAGGTCATGGACTTAACAGTTAAAGAAAATTCCATTAACAAGAGGGGTCTCCCTTAGGCAGCCAGGCACTTTCTTCATCGGCTTCTTATGAATCTTTTTTACCTGACTCCAGCCCAGCTCTGACCAGTAAGTTGAATTTGATCTGAATACCTTCCAGAGAGGAATGTGAGGGTAGTCACAGCACACTTATAAGAAATACAATAAGTGGTCTAGAGTCAAAGAGCTGATAACATTAGGGCACTTGCAGCTGAATATGTGTTGGCCAGGCTAGACAGCCCACAGTGTGACCTACCATGGTTCTTCTTGCCCCAGTCTAGTACAAGTAATTCCATTCAATTAGTTGGAAAGGGGTTGCCTGAGTCTTGCAATCTCGGCCTGTTTCTAAGTGACACTAGTTCTTCTGCCTGGTGAATGTGGACTGTATCTGGAGGTGTTCTGTGGAGACTGTGTAGGAACTGGCCCAGTCCTCTGTCATGTGCCATCTAGGCTCAGCAGTTGGTGCTTGCAGCAACTTACCAAGGCAGCACGGGGAGTTTCCTTCTGGTAGAAAGAAGAGCTTCCAGGATCAGTTCTAGAAAGCAAAGATCACAAATGTCTTTGTGACATTGTCCCCTATGCCACCCCAGGGTGCTCGGTTTAGTTTTTTCTTCATGTCCCATTCAGGAATCAAAACTTTACATTTTCTTAGCTGGACATGGTGGTGTACACCTGTAATCCCAGCAAGACCCTATGTCAAAATAAAATGCCAAAAAAAGGGATGGGGCCTGGGGATATAGCTCAGTGGTTAAGTGCCCCTGGGTTCAATCCCCAGTACCAAAAAAAAAAAAAAAAAAAAAAAACTTTACATTTTCTTAATCATCCCCTACTCTCACTCAGATATGTCAAAGAAAAGATAAGCATTTTTTTAAAAAAAGACATTTTTATCAAACTTAACCAGAAAGACACAATGTGTTTAGGTATTAGTTGGGACAAAAATCCTAAATTTTCAAAAAATTTCAAAATCCCATTCTTTTTGTCCTGTTCATTTATCCAGTGAGCAGTCTAAAAATGATCACTCCCTTTCATAAGACAGCTACATTTAACAAATCGCTCTACTGAGGTATATGTGAGGAAAGGTGAGGTAAGGAAAGTAGACTTGGGTTCTCAGTCAATTGTTATAAACTATAGCTTCTTTGGAAAATCAAACTCAAGAAAACAGCAGTCACATAACCCTAGAGAAAATGGAGTTCAGTTTTTCAGTGGTGAATAAAAAGGTCACATTGCCAGTATTTCCTAACCTATAGCTTTTACAGGATTTTACAGGGTCACAAGGTAGAAATGCCCTTAGGCTCTGTATCAGAAATATAAAACTGAGGAACAGCTTGATTTGGGGTGGTCCCTCAGAGAACAGGCCCTGTTCTATGAGCACTTGTATGTAACCCAGATGGTCCAGCGGTGTCCAGGATGTTTTCACAGGGTAGGACCCAATGAAGTGGTTTTCTGTATTTGTACCAGTCCCTAGTTGAGTTTTAACATGCCAGAGTATCCCTTTGTTTGGAAATTAATCAAAAATTACAATATGGAGCTCTGTGGTCTGATTCCACTATACCCAGAGTTTAAGTTCCAACAACCCACTGATGATAAAAGCAAGAAAGTTGTTTCCAAATTCTATTTGGAGGAGAAAATAAAAACTAAAGGCATTATCTGGGCTGCACTTTACCCCCTCACTTTGGTTAGCACAACCAGAAACAGCCAGGGGATCCATTGAGCCAACTCTCTTGGAGTTATAATGGTCACTTTCAAATTCCATAGGCAACTTGGCTTCTGTTCTATACATGAATGACTCCATAGTTACCCAGGCACCAGATTCATCATTCTTTGCCCCTTTGTCCTAGTGAATCAGGGTCACTGTAGTGATTCACAATGTGACACCAGTTGTGATCCTTGAGACCACCCCATGGTTTGATGATTCACCAGAGAACTCAGAAGACTTAACATAGTTACACTTGGTTATAACTAATTATGGCAGGATACACAGTGAAATTAGCAAAGGGAAGCAGTACATGGGGAGGAGTCCAGAGCAAACCAGGCACAAGTTTCCAAGGCTCCTCTCCTAGTAGAGTCACACAGGATATGCTTAATTCCCCCAGTAATGAGTTGTAACAACTCATTTAAAAATTTTCCAACTGAGGGAATTCTTTAGAGATTCAGTGCTCAGGGCTTTTACTGGGAGCTGGTCATGCAGGCACCCCCTGCTAGGCATATACCCAAGTTACAAACATCCAGAATGTATTATTTATATAAACAACCTAGGTACTTATTAGTTAATGGCAGGGACCTTCCCGAAATCTGAGTTCCTAGATGCTGGCCAAGGCCAACCTTGTAAGTAGGCCCTTCCAAAGACAGCAGTCAGTCCTGCTATGTTAATTCTTCCTGTATAAGGAAACTGAGATTTAGAGAGGTTGAGTGGCCTGCCCAAGGTGATTCAGTGTGAAGTCTATCTCCAAAGTGCAGATTGTTATTTGCCTAAAATTAACTTGACTCTTTAGTCTGTGAGCCTTTTAAAGGTGGGATCCATTCTGTGAACAGTAGGAAAAGTTTCATGTTTCAAGAATGTGAATTGCCCATGTTACATTTTAATAGACATATGGTATTCCTCCCAACTTCCTCTTCCTGCTTTTTCCATCTGTATTCCTTGTCTTTCTGGCTGTTATACTGTAACTCTCTAGTATTCCATGCCTGTCCTCGTGTAGCTCCTGTTGGCCCTCTTAAATCTTCGTACAAGTCTTCTCCTACCAGAACCACTGAGAGGAAGAAGGCTACAGCTACATCTGGTGCAGGAGATGCTGGGAAAGGAGCCCCAGCAGGAGCAGAGGCCTCTCCGGTAGGTTTAAACCCACTCACTCCTTCATCCTTCTGGAATGTGGTTTATCTGGCAGTGTGATTATTTCCTTCACTTGACCTGGGCTCTCTGTTTCTGTTGGTCTCTAGGGACTGCTCAAGGAGTAGATTTGGTTTAAAATTTTATCCAGGCTTTGAAAATTGTTTAACTTTTAGCACTCTCCTAAATCTTAGTGCCTTGTTGCAAATTCCTAATGACATCTATGTTATAGCTTGCCCTCCAAAGGACAGGAATCCGAAGGAGTATTGCAAGTGAATTCTTCTTTAAGAATATGGGATTCTGGACTGGTCTTACCTCTACAGATAATTAGAACTGAGGCTCTAGGTCAGCCTTCACCGTGGGGAAGTAGCCTTTAAATATTTTTAAAATATTTTTGAGGTCATGCTGACACCATCAGTAAAGTAAATGTTGATCAGGTACTCCCAACTTTGTGTACTTACTTAAAAAATCATATATATAATACTACTTAGATTATCATTTGCTATATAGCACATTACTCCAAACCTTGGCAACTTAAAATAACAAATATTTCTTATCTCATGGGTTCTTTGGATTAGTAATTGAGAGTGCTTTTGGTACTCTGAATTAAGAGTAGTAAGATGCTAGCCAGGACTGCATCCTCTAAGAGCTTGGCTGGGCCTCTTTGTATCCCCCCGCCCCAGTACTTAGAATTGAACCCCAGGGCCACTCTACCACTGAGCTCCATCCCCACCCCTTTTTATTTTTTTATTCTGAGAAAGGGTTTTCCTAAATTGCCAAGGTTGGCCTCAATTTTGTGATCCTCCTACCTCAGTCTCCAGAGTTGCTGAGATTATAGGCATGCATCATTGCACCTGACCTTGACTGGATCTCTTCTGAGATGGTCATAACGTGGCCACAGGAAGGAGGACTCAATTCCTCACTGCCTGGGCCTCTCCATAAAGCTGCTTAAGTGTCCAAATGACATGGTGTCTGGCTTCTCCCAGAGCAAGTGATCTAAGAGAGAAAGTGCAAAAAAGGGAAGCTGCCTTTTATGCTCAACTTGTCACTTCTGCCATAGACTTCTGCCAACAGTCTATGCAGAACAGCAAGTCACGAAGAGCAACCCAAACTCAAGGGGAGGGGAATTAAACTTCACCTCCTCCATTATTTGAAGGAGTATCAAATAATGTGTGGACTTATGCTAAAACCACCACATACCCACTATTTGACATACTATTTTTATTTTTTTGCACTGCAAAGTATGGAACCCAGGGCCTCATCCATGCTAGGCAGGCACTCTACCAGTGAGCTATATTCCCAGCTTTGTTGGGCATTTTATAATAACGTATTTTCATTTCGAATTTATTGTGGCCCTGGGATTCTTTTTTTAAAAATTGCAATATACAAACTTTATTTAACAAAAGTAACAGGTAATGTCAAACAGGCACTTCTATCACGAGAAAAAGTGAGCCAGGCATGGTGGTGCACGCCTGTAATCCCAGCAGCTCAGGAGGCTGAGGCAGGAAGATCATCAGTTAAAAGCCAGCCTTAGCAACAGGGAAGTGCTAAGCAACTCAGTGAGACCTCGTCTCCTAATAAAATACAGTATACGGCTGGGGATATGGCTCAGTGGTTGAGTGCCCCTGAGTTCAATCCCTGGTAGCCCTCTACCCAAAGAAAAGAAAAATTTTATCTTAAATACCTTGCAATAACATAAAGGCAGTGGTATTTAATTGAGGTCTGTTGCTGTGAAGAATGTAGCTTATGCATTGATATGGATGAATGATTGTACATTTTTCAAGTAGTCACTGAATACTACTGTAGATACACATATACATTAAATTTGTGAAAGATTTAATTGATGACCCTAGATATACTTCATTTTGTTACTCTTCTAGAAGAGGTCATCTAAAAAGAAAAATATGTGGCTCTGGTTCACGAATCATGTAATGGGCCCAGCCTAGACTCTGTTGGACACCAAGTCTCCTCCACTCCTCTTCAGACGTTAAATGAGTTTTGGGTACCTTTGGAAAGTTCTGTGGGTAACATGACATGCTGGTACTTGTAGTGATCATCAAAATACTTATTAGAGCAGTAGATCTACTTATGGGTATCATGTCAGTGCACAACAGGGCAGAAATGATGCAGAAACCAAAGAGAATGCAATGAGTATAGGAAGCAGAATCATGTCCTTCCATTTTAAGCCAGGGCAACAACTTGACTGAAACCATGAGCTGCTGCTGCTGCTGCTTTTTTTTTTTTTTTTTTTTTTAATGTGGTGCTGGGGATTGAACCAAGGGCCTTGTGTATGCAAGGCAGGCATTCTACCAGCTGAGCTCTATCCCCAGCACGGCCATGAGATTCTTAAAAAAGAAGTGAATGTTTCCAATTTTTAGATTTGCTGTAGGATGGATTATTGTGGAAGGGGGCTAACATTTGTGGATGTCAGGGCCAAGTGAGAACTTGTTACAGAAAAATATAATAGGGAGAGAAGGGGACTAATCCTTATGAAGCATTTTCTGCTGGCTGGGCACTGATATCCTTTTCTTTCTCCATTCTGCTGAAAGGGATGAAAGGGAAACTACAGAAGAATGGATGTGTTGCATTCTCCATTATACCATGTATGCTCTTAGGGTCTGTAGCTCACTTTCTTGAATGTTATAACTACATTCTTACTCACCTATAATTTTTTTCTTAGTAAACATCATCTCTTTATACTCTTTCCCAGTTCCTGTATGTCCAGGACCATAATATGCTTCTGTTGTTAGTTCTTGGTTAAAAACAAGAAGGGGGAAATCTGCATGTTGAGATTGAAAGCTATTATTCTTTTCACTGGATGACCTAAGTGTGATGACCTTGTGGTACCTCTCTGCAAAGATTCCTATTCTGTCCTATTACATTATAGCTTTGTACAGATCCCTCTTAAAGAAAAACTATATGTTACTTCCATTTGAGATATTTTCAGAAATTGTAGAAGTAGTACCAGTCATGAGCTGTGGCTATCTTACTTTCTCTGTCCTTATAGGTGGAGAAGGTGAAGAGGGGACAGCGAGCGACAACTTCCATCCCTTCCGGGGGCCTCGGGTCCCCACTGAGAAGATGCGAGCTTCCCGCAGGCCTTCCTAAGAGATCGTCTTCTCCTGTGTTATCCAAGTAAGCATCTTTCCCCTTTGCCAGACAGTCTGATTGATGACTTAGAACCATTTGAGTGGGGTTTGGTGCTATCTAACATTATAGCTCCTGTTCCCTTATGAGGCATGGCCAGCCAGAAAGAGTAAGCAGGAGAAATGCTAGCCTTTGAACTATCTGCCTTGACTCCATTTATCTTCTGGTTAAATGGTGTGCCATTAAGGGATTTGTTGCTTGGTAAATAAATACAGGACTCTTATTTGCCAAAATGAAATAGTCAACATTTTCTCCTTACAGCATTAAATTCCATTCCGTTTACTGGTCATTCTTTTCTTTTTTGATTGCATCTGGATTTAAGTGATTGCATTGTGTGTGGGTACCTGCTTGCCTTCCTCTGCCTTTCCCGTCTTATTATCTACTTAACATCAACAATAACTTGTCAGCCATGAATTTTTATTAGGAATTTGGTAAACTCACCAGTGAAAATATGTAAATGAAAAATTATATCTGTCACCACTGTTTTAAGTCTTTGAAGTATTTTACCAACTAACAAGAACGACTCATCAAATAATTCATTACAGTAGTACAATGGAAACATCTTTAGTAATAGTGCGAGAGAAAGAGAAATGTGATTTAATTTGGAAAAAGAGGAAAGTTTTGTTTATTTTTATTTTGAGACAGGGTCTCTCTAAGTTGCTGGCCTTGAACTTGCAAACCTCTGCCTCAGCCTCCCAAGTTGCTTGGGTTACAGGTGTGCACCACCATGCTTGGTTAGGAAAGTTTTTATATATGGAAGATAATGTAGACCTTGTTTAGTACATCCATTTGACTCAGAGAAAGAAGGATAAAACACAAATTTAATGAACACTTAGGATTTGTTTAAAATATTTCAAGATGACGTCAGCTCTTCTTTTTAATGTGTTGCTTTCTAACAGAGTTTTCACGATTATTAGTTTTCTCAGATTACTATGATTTTTAAAAACTTTTATTTATCTATCTATTTATTTATTTATTTATATGTGGTGCTGGGGATCAAAGTGCCTCATACATGTGAGGCAAGTGCTGTACCACTGATCCACAACCCTAGCCCCTACTATGATTTTTATAGACTACTAATATCCTTCCATAACACATCTCTGAATTAATAGGTTGTTTTTAAAATTTTCATTGTTTAGTTCACAGTGTCCTTTCTATGCTAGTTTTGCTTGTCTTATTTCTTAGCCTTCTTGGCTCTTATCCACATATCACTATGCTTGTGTTAACTTGGGATATTTATATTAATAGAAAAGCCTAGTTCATACTGGGGTTTTTCCAGGTTTTAGTTTCTTATCCTAGATATTGAGTCATGGTTCCTATACAGATAATAACTTGCAAGTTTCATCATTATTATTATAAATTTCATTAAAATAATCAAGTAAGTTATTGCATTCTACAGAGATGGGAGTTATGCTCTAGTAGGAAGCAAGGTCACAACTGGCTCTATGCTGTTTCTTTGAAGTTGAACATCTTGAAAAAATTAAGTTTCTAGAACTGTTTAATATTTTAAAAGACAAATCATCTGAATTTTTAAATTTAAAAAAAATTTTTTTAGTTGTAGATGGACACAATATTTTTATTTTTTATTATTATTTTTTAATGTGGTGCTGAGGATCGAACCCCATACCTGACACATGTGAAGCAGGTGCTCTACCACCGAGCTGCAGTCCCAGCCCCAAGTCATAGGAATTTTATACAATACTTGTTTGATTAGACACTTGATTAAAATCCCATACCATTTTTATATAGTTCAATTTAGAGGAAAAAAATTATTCCCACTCTTTTAAAACAGTAATAGGGGGCCTGGGCCTATGGCTCAGTGGTAGCACACTTGCCTAGCATGTGTGAGGTGCTGGGTTTGATGTTCAGCACTGCATATAAATAAATAAAATAAAGGTCTATCAACAACTAATAAAAATTTTAAAAAAACAGTAATAGGCACATAGTAGGTGCCTTAAATATTTTCAGGATAAATGAATGCAAGTTACTGTGTCAAGTGCCTCAGAGAATCAAAAAATGAATGAAAATAGTGTCTAATTTAAGGAAGCAAGGTGAGAGGGAGCCATGTATATAGTAATGTGCAGATCAGACCCCAATCCAAAGGGCTATCTGGCTCAGGACTTGTGACTCAGCTTGTCATTGGATAGGGATCTGAGAAGGTCCCCCAAAAAGGAGAAGGGGATCAACTAGACCCTGCCAGGTTCTTGACTTACTCTGGAGAAAAGAATTTTAGAATGTATCAAAAGAGGCACAGATTTATTTAGGAAACCAAGGAATACACATTCAGGGTGCGGAGAATGCAGGCTGTCTTGAGAGTGAGAGTGAGATGGGCTTTTGAGGTCTCAGGCTTTTCTTTTAAAGGAAACTTTGTAGGCTGGGGGTATGGCTCAGTGGCAGAGTGCTTGCCTAGCATGTTCGAGGCTCTGGGTTCTATCCTTAGCACCACACAAAAGTAAACAAATTCTGTTTATCTACAACTACAAATTTTTTTTTAAAAAAGAAACCATAAATAGTGAACATCAGCAGTATGTGGATAAGGCATCAGCCTAGTGAGCTCAGTTTTCTGAGTCTTAGAGCACAGATAACATCTGGAATTTACCCATATTATATGTCTCTAAGAGTATTTTCTCTCGGCTTCTTTTTAATCTGAAAAAAAAAAAGCATTGTCTAAGCTAGCAATGTATGCAGGCATTAATTATCTGGACTTATAATACTCTAAGATTCAAAGACTTTTTAGGAATTTACATAATCAACGAAGGTACCCTTCAGCAGATGAATGGATAAAGACACAGTGGAGTATTACTCAACCATAAAGAATGCACTTATGGGGCTGGATTTGTGGGTCAGTGGTAGAGTGCTTGCCTAGCCTGTGTGAGGCACTGGGTTCGATCCTCAGCTCCACATAAAAATAAATATATAAAATAAAGGTATTATGTTCATCTATAACTAAAAAAATATTTTAAGAAAATAATGCAATTTTGGCATTTGCTGGTAAATGGATGGAACTGGAGACTATATGCTAAGAGAAATAAGCAAAGGTCAAATGTTTTTTCCACTATGCGGAAGCTAGTCCAAAATAAGTGGGGGAAGAGAAGGGGAAAAGTAGGGGGATTCCATCAAATAGAAGAAAGATGGGTGGACTATATGAAGGAGACTCGGGGGAGGGAGAGGGAGAGGAATAAGGCAAGGGAAGAACAGCAGAATGAGGGCTGGGGTTGTGGCTCAGAGGTAGAGTGCTCACCTAGCATGCGTGAGGTACTGGGTTCGATCCTCGGCACCACATAAAAATAAAAAAAGATATTGTGTCCACCTGTAACTAAAAAGTAAATATTGAAAAAATGAAAGCAAAATTTAAAAATTTTACAAAAAGAACAGTGGAATGAATATCTGATCTAACTTTCCTATGTACATAATATGAATATACCACAGTGAATCTCACCATCATGTTTATTCATCTACAAGCCACTATTAAAAAAAAACCTAAAAGTAAATAGCAGAAATTTATAAAGTAGAGGGGAGGGAGAAGAGGAGGGATGGGGGAAATACTGGGGGTTGAATTAGAGCAAATTATATTCCATGCTTTTATAATTCTGTCATGAATCCTAATGTTACGTATACTAAAAGGAACCAATTAAAAATTATTTCTGGGGCTGGGGATGTGGCTCAAGCCGTAGCGCGCTCGCCTGGCATGCGTGTGGCCCGCATTCGATCCTCATGGAGTTTACGTGACGGTGATTAGCAAGTATAATATCAGGTGGTGATAATTGCTGTGAAGAAAAAATAAGTGGATCAGATGACAAGATGTGGTAGAAAAGGGTAACTAGATAAGTGGTCAGGAAAGGCTTCTCTGAGGAGGTGATATTTGGTAAGAACCCTGAATGAAGTGAGGGAGCAGGCAGCATTGATGTGTACCTCATTGGGCTGTGTGAACATTTTAGGCTCAGTTTCCTGCAGCACCACTTTGAGGGTGGGAACTCTTGATTTCTTATTGCACAGCAGGTGCTCAGTGTGTGTCTGCTTAGTGTATTTTGGTTGCTTGAGACCAGAAATGGTTTCACAGTGTGGAGTCTTTCAGATTTTAGAATACTTGCATAGGCTTTATGGATTGAGCATCCCTGATCTGAAATCTGAAACTTGGAGCACTGACATGATGCTCAAAAAGGTTAGGGTTTTGGAGCATTTCAGATTTCAGAATTTCAGGTTAGGGATGTACAACCTGTATTAATGAGTTGAGAAATCTAAAGAGAAGCAAATTTTACCTGATTTTAAAATGTTCAGAAAGAAAGATAGCTTCCCACCAAGTGAAAATTAATAGCTGTACCACAGTGGGTATGGACCACATCTGAAAAACATGGGAACTCATGTAGAATGTAAGGCAATTCTGAAAAATCCAGCTAAACTATGTGGCAGTGAAAAAGAATGGGTCATTGTTGCCCACAACCACATGGGTAGATCACAGGAATGGGTGGATCTCAGGTGTTGCATGGAAAACTCCGCTTGTAGAATGTCAGTAGTATCATTCCATTTATTTTAATTCCTAGATGTGTAAAACTAAACAATCTGTTTTTAAGAATGTGGTAAATGGGATTTTTTAAAAAGTAAAAAAATGCCAAACAAGATTCAGGGTGATGATGGCCTCTGAGTAAGGAGGAGAGGGAATTGGATCAGGGAGGGGAACATAGGAAATTCTAGCACATTGGTAACTTCTTTCTTTTGGATTAGGTGGTGGATATGTAGATGTTTGTTATATTCTTTAAACCTTATACATTTTGTACATGTTTTTGCACACTCGGTATTAAAGCAAAACAAAAAAGAGACACTTGATATTTAAAATGGTGTCATGCACAAAATAAACCCCATTTTCTTTTGACATTCTCACTATGGAGACCAAGTAATGTGATTTTTAAAGCACACTAAAAATTATGTGCTTTGAAAGGGGACATAGTTAGCCTCTTTGAACTCCTATCTAACAGCTCAGAGGAGTCATG